CGAGACCTGGGCCCCCGGGGGGGTAAGGGGTAAGGAGCCGGTGGGAGAGGAGGGCTCCCTGGGAGTTTTAACCCGCGTGGGGCCGGCCGCTCCAGCTGCAGCCTGGGGCGGGGGGCGCTCAGTTCCCAATCTTTCGCCTCTCAGAACCTTAAACTTATATTCCAACCTGGGCCTCCCGCACTCTGGAAGGGACCGGAACCAGCCTGAGTTCCTCGGCGACAGCGAACCCCCAACAGAAGGCTGGGTTCCACTTTTCTACAAGCACCCCGCACCCACCGCCGCCCGCAGCCCGGACCCGCGTGGAGGACGAGCACGGGAGAACCAGTTCCGCGGCGACGCCTGTCCCGCAGTCGAGCTGTGAGAACTACAACTCCCACAAGGCTGCGCGCGGAGGGGCCTCGCGCCCCGCCCCCTCCCGGCTGGTACTTGTCCGCTCCGGGACTGGTGGCCGCTACCCTGGGAGTGAATCCGCTAGTTTGCCAGGCGGGTAGAGTAGGAATGGAGGACAGTGATAGAACTGGGTGTGGAGGGCAGTATTTTGGGTCTAGCACGCGTGGTAGATTTCATCCAAGTCCTGGAAGTAGAGGTTGCTGAAGCTAAGAGCGGAGCGCTAGGCGCTAATCTGCATTTACTGACCCTCCCCCCGACCCCGTCTTTAAAGAGACTTAAATCATCGCAAAACACGCAGAACTTTGAACTCACGGATGTGTTTCCTTACATCCAGACTATTTTCTCGTGGAAAACTCCAGGCCTTGTCTGCAGGTGTCCCAGTGACTAAGCACCTTAAGTTACAAAGAAGAAAGCCAACCTTACCCGCCTGCGGGTCTGGTTCTCTTGACTATACAGCCACCCCGGGCCTGTGTTCCAGATCCTGGCAACAGGGCACAATCTGACCGTCAGTGTCCATCTGAAGGTCACGTTGAGAGGAGAGACATTTGTGAGAGAGTCTGAATATGTAACATCCAACCAGTTCTTTCATCATTCTGAAGTCCATCCTTGAATCAAGCTGGACCACATATGAAGGGAACATATTTAGGGACTATGGCTCCTGGGAGTTTAGAGGGGTTCACCAAGCCAGAGGCTTCTGAATGTCCTCCTTGGGGGGAGGGTCATCTGGGAACACTGCACGTTGTCACTCTTTCCCCTGGCCTACCCCAAGGACTCACCTTTCAGAGTGAATTGTCCTGATGCGATGAGAAGCTGAAAGCTGTTTTTCTAGAGTCCACCTGAGACACCAGGAGCACCAGGCAGCACAGCTTCGGAGCCTGTGTGATGAAGGGTGACCCAGTTTGTTACATTTGGGCTGGAGAGAGCTATTCTCAACACTTCCATGAAAATGTGGCCCAGCTTTATGGTGCCCAAGGGCCCTGGTATATATATAAGCAGCATCAGCATCTCAGAATTTTAGCACATCAGTCCCCCTTCAAGACAGTGGAATATTGGCACCCGGGTATCAGTACCTCCTGCATAGTGGGCAGGCCACCCTCCGCCACACCCTGCACCTGGCAGCTTGGGCCAGACCTGTCAGGCTTCATGAGCAGCACCTTTGACCTGCATGAGCAATAGCAGCGGTTCATCCTGCTGGGTGGCTGGGGTGTGGGGCGGGACGGTGCTGGGGATGTCTCAGCAGATGGGCAGGAAGCCAGAGCCGGTTCGGTTGGAAAATGACAGGCTCCATGTGGTAGTTGAAAGCACTGCATGTCAGCACAGGTGAGGCCAGCCCTGCGGAGTCCTACAAATATTTGATGTGTGATGTATGCAGAGCGGGTGGTGGTAGTCACCTGCGGTTTAAAAGAGAAGGTAGGAATCTTGAAATCATGCTCTCGGGATGGGTTGGCTCCAGAGTTGGGGGATGGGGAGAACTTAACACTTATTATGACCCTGGTTTTACCACTAGGGCTGGCTTGGGAAGTAAGCCTTCCTTCCACCAAATTGTCTTTTTTTTCTTCTTGATTAATTTGAGCAGATTTTAATAAAATCTAAAATATTTTGAGAGTCAATTTTTTTATTATGTCCAAATTGTCTTTTAATACTATGCCCCAAACTCAGTTTTAACCATGAGATTAGGTAAGAAACAATCACATTCACTGTTTTACTCCGATAGTGAGCACAGTGCCAGGCTCATGGTAAGTAGTCCATAAATACTGGCTAAATGAACTTATAGGATATATTATTGAAATGTTGTTATTAAGATTTTCCAACAAATGGAATATGAACAGAACACTGTTGGTATTAATATGGTGTCTGCATTAGACTCTCCATTTATATGAGTCCAGATAGGAAGATGAAGACAAATGAGAAATACTTTCTTTGAAGCAAAAAACAACCTAGCTTGTTATAGATGGAAAAAAAATAGTTTCTTCAAGGAAACAAAACATTGTCCCCTCTCCTCCAAAAAATCCCCTCAAAGTTCTCAACCAAAAGATAGGATTCTTTGAAAATAATCGGCTAGAGAAAAAGATTTAAGCACAGCTTAAAACTCTCTCTTCTATTGCTTTATCATTCCCTTAACTAGCATAGATTCAGAAAGAAGTTTTCAGCAACTGGAAAGTTTTTCACAGATCAATAATGACATCACTGATGCAATGATCACATATTTAAAAGAGATCATAATTTTACTTCATTTTTAACTCCAATTAAACTTTATTTTATGTAGTGCTTACTTTAAGCAGTATTTTATTTTCATATTAGAATGTTTAATATATTATTTCAGTATATTTACATTTTACTTAAGCTTATGAATGTTTTATTTGAAATGTATTAAATACTTTATTTTACCGATCTCAAGTACTTAAACTATATTATGTAAAAATAAACACCAAAATATACTGAAATTTTACTCCAGTATTTAAGTGAGCCTTTACTTTGA